AACAGGGACTATCGCCTCTGCAAAGGGTTAATCGTTCGAATTAAAGTAATTCGACGAGAAAATAAAAATTGCAAGCAACGTCACACCGTTCATTCACTGGTTTTGGTTCTCCAAAGGATCAGCTGACGTGAACGGACTAAGTGTTTTTTCGGTCGGTTCTGGTAACCGAAGAACGAGAGGAAACACGTGCTCGTGGATGCATCGTGGCAGCACGGCGTATCTATTTTTGCGACACATCAAGCTATTCTCAGTTACGCTCCGACTGCACAGAGTGCATCGACTGTCATCGGTGCTCTAGGAATAAACCATATCCATCGCAATGAACTAATTCGTACGTTACATGTGCGGCTCTATATTTTCTTCTGTGTTGCGTGGAACCGCAGCGTCAAGTTTCCCCATCACTTACATCATCGACAAACTTTGATAAATAGTTGGCTGTAGTGGCAGGCAATTAAACGACAAAATTGAAATATCGATATTTTATGCGGTCGCAGGCCGAATGTATCGTCACATCGATCGCCGTTACGAGGCTCTTCCTTTTTTTATTCGAGGAAACGTTCGTGTTTTGTGTCTCATCATTGTCGTGTAATCAGAGCAGTGTCAGGCTCGAGCGTCTGACGCCAATTGACTCGATCTACTCGCAAATCCATCCACGCAACGCAGTGTATTGGTTGTCCGAAAAGTTTCTATCGTTTTATGAGGGAATAATAGAAGAACAATGGTTTTTGTTTTATGTCGAATCGCGTACGATCGATTTTGTTCTGTTGAGATAAACACCACGACATTTCACAGACTTGGTTCCACGTTTGTATGAAGCTGCGTTGTTGTAAAAAACACATCTGCGAAAAAAACACACTTTCCGGACAACCTAATACATTTGTCTTTTTTGTATATAAAATTTGAAGTTGTTTTACATAAAAGTTGAAGTTGTTTCTTGTAGAAATTGGCGAAAGGAAAGTGCATCGTTGTAAACAACACATTTGCGAAAAAGACACACTTTCCGGACAACCTAATACATTTGTCTTTTTTGTATATAAAATTTGAAGTTGTTTTATATAAAAGTTGGAGTTGTTTCTTGTAGAAATTGTCGAAAGGAAGGTGCATCGTTGTAAAAAACACGTTTTCAAAGGAAAGATATTTTCCGGAAAACTTAACACATTTGTCCTTTTTTGTATATAAAAGTTGGTTGTTTTATATAAAAGTTGAAGTTGTTTCTTGTAGAAAATGCCGAAAGGAAGGTGCATTGTTGTAAAAAAACACGTTTGCGAAAGAAAGACACTTTCCGGACAATATAATACATTTGTCCTTTTTTGTATATAAAAGTTGAAGTTGTTTCTTGTAGAAATTGCCGCAAGGAAGGTGCATTGTTGTAAAAAACACATTTGCGAAAAAAACACACTTTCCGGGCAACCTAATACATTTGTCTTTTTTGTATATAAAATTTGAAGTTGTTTTATATAAAAGTTGGAGTTGTTTCTTGTAGAAATTGTCGAAAGAAAGGTGCATTGTTGTAAAAAACACGTTTTCAAGGGAAAGATATTTTCCGGAAAACTTAATACATTTGTCCTTTTTTGTATATAAAAATTGAAGTTGTTTTATATAAAAGTTGAAGTTGTTTTACATAAAAGTTGAAGTTGTTTTACATAAAAGTTGAAGTTGTTTATTGTAGAAATTGCCGAAAGGAAGGTGCATCGTTTTAAAAAACACGTTTTCAAAGGAAAGATATTTTCCGGAAAACTTAATACATTTGTCCTTTTTTGTATATAAAAGTTGAAGTTATTTTATATAAAAATTGAAGTTGCTTCTTGTAGAAAATGCCGAAAGGAAGGTGCATTGTTGTAAAAAACACGTTTTCAAAGAAAAGACATTCTCCGGAAAACTTAACACATTTGTCCTTTTTATATATAAAAGTTGAAGTTATTTCTTGTAGAAAATGCCGAAATGAATGTGCATTGTTGTAAAAAAACACATTTACAAAAGAAAGACACTTTCCGGAAAACTTAATACATTTGTCCTTTTTTGCATATAAAAGTTGAAACTGTTTCTTGTAGAAATTGCCGAAAGGAAGGTGAATCCTTCTAAAAAACACGTTTACGAAAGACACTTTCTGGACAACCTAACACATTTGTTTTTTTGTATACATAGAAGTTGAAGTTGTTTCTTGTAGAAAATGCCGAAAGGAATGTGCATTGTTGTAAAAAACACGTTTGCGAAAGAAAGACACTTTCCGGAAAACTTAATACATTTGTCCTTTTTTGCATATAAAAGTTGAAACTGTTTCTTGTAGAAATTGCCGAAAGGAAGGTGAATCCTTCTAAAAAACACGTTTACGAAAGACACTTTCTGGACAACCTAACACATTTGTCTTTTTGTATACATAAAAGTTGAAGTTGTTTCTTGTAGAAAATGCCGAAAGGAAGGTGCATCATTGTAAAAAAAGACACATTTACAAAAGAAAAACACTTTCCGGAAAACTTAATACATTTGTCCTTTTTATATATAAAAGTTGAAATTGTTTCTTGTAGAAATTGCCGAAAGGAAGGTGAATCCTTCTAAAAAACACGTTTACGAAAGACACTTTCTGGACAACCTAACACATTTGTCTTTTTGTATACATAAAAGTTGAAGTTGTTTCTTGTAGAAAATGCCGAAAGGAAGGTGCATCGTTGTAAAAAAAAACACATTTACAAAAGAAAAACACTTCCCGGACAACTTAACATATAGGTTCACGTGCTCCTACACGTCTCACCTGATAATTAATATTTTCCATATTTGACACGACGTATGTCACGTGTGCTACAGTTTGTAAATTTCGCATCTCTCAACTCGTAGCTACGTTACGTTCTGAGAAATCAACGTAGACAGCGGCGAGAAAATCGTATTTTAATGGAATAGTTGTGGTTCCATCGAGATAGTTAGCCGGAAATTGCGTAAACTTACCGGTTTGATATTCATGCAAATGGGTTTCTTCGTCGAATCTCCTCATCGAAGAAATATTCTCGTCGATCTCGATGAGGAGACAGCTAGGCGATACCGTGGATAGAAAGCGTGGAACACTTGGACGAAAGCTGCTTTGAGGAGGAATTTACGAAAGGTCCGAGAACAGCATCTGGCATCGAGCAGCGACCGCAGCTAACTAACAAAGCGCTTTCAACCCGGAAAATTCGTCCGACCAAGCTCGCCTTTGTTCGGCGTGGCGCGATGCCCGTAGACGATTCATTACTCGCAGAATCGTTGCGTTTCCTCAGCTAATCTGTCCTTTATCTCGCGCCGGAATCGCTGCCGACCTACGACGAGTAGTGCGAGTAAGAAACATTTGTCTTTGAGCACAATGCTCGCCTGTGGCGGGCGATAAGAACACCGCCATCGTCTTCGAGAACTCGTCCGTGGCGCGATAACAATTAAACAAGTTAGTTTAACACCAACGCTGTTCCGTGAATCTGGCAATGAAAAAATCGGAGAATTCCAATGCAACGAAACGATTTAAAACAGAAGACATTTCAAAGGAAAAAGCGGTGCGCAACAGCGAGAAGAATGTCGGGAATCGACCCAGGACCATCGCGACCCCGTCAAGTGGAGCGTGGAGATGCTGTTTGGCGGCACATCTCGCTCATACTTTCCGTTTTCTTTCGCTTTTATTCTTCTCGCGCCTTCCCACTTTGCTCGTGCAACACCTCGACGCCGTCTCTTCACCATCCTCGCTCCCCTTCCGCAAGGAAATTCAGCGAAAGCTCGGTGATTCTTTTCCGAAACGTTCGCTCGTTTCGCTTACATCGTCACATTCGTTTCAACTTAATCGCAACCACGCATATAGCATTCTCTTGCGATGGTTGTGCGAATGCAACGAGACAAGTGCGATCTGCTCGATGCTACGAAAGCTACGTAGAATCTCGTACGAAGCGGTAGATCGAGCCGTAAGTTTCACCATATCTTTACATTTTCATTTCACCCGAATGGAAGGTGGTTGCTTGGAAAGAGGAAAATTTTCAGCCAAAGGTTTCCAGATGATCTTTTTGTAATCGTATAATCAACGATCATCCGTGAACCATCGTATCATCGAACGATTAAAATCACCGTGGAAGCAGCGAAATAAGGAAACGCGATCGCAAGCTTTTTCGAAGCTCGAGATAGACTCAACTTTGAACGGGGTAACCGAGCCACATGGAACTTCGCTCGCGAAAGAATATTCGTCACACCTGTGTCGCAGTGAACGACTGAAAAACAATGATTGTCGAGTAACGCGGATTCCTGGCTCGCAGCCTGACACTCGTTATTTCAATTGCTCATGGGCGAGTGTCGATTAAGATTTGCGTAACCAACTGGCGCGTTGCCTGTCGCACGACAACCGGTCCTCGAACTTCCGCGGCTTTCTTCCACGGCGTGGGTCACGCGAACTTCTTTCGAGAAAAGACGGTGAACCGGACGATCCGGCAGATTTATGGGGCAAAAATTCCCCGCGTCCTGTCAACGTTCCCTGGAACATCGCGTGAACCCGTAAACGTAGTCGTTCGGATTTCGTTCACCACTGCAATTACGTGCGTCTTTCTCTCTCTGTCTCTCGGTCGACGATCTGTCGAATCGCATTAGCCCTGGCCCCTAGATTTTCCACTGCAGTAGACGGCTAATTAACGAACGTAGGCCATCGATAGCCGATGTTACCGGCTTCCTGTTCTCTATGTCTGTGTGTCTATGTATTCGATTGATCCACTTTAGCGATCGAGTAGCTCGATCGGTGTTAATTCTTGATCGATCCGTCACTTTGCCGATCTATCAAGCTATCGCAGTCTACTAGGCTGTCGACCTAGTGGCTTACCAGTCTAGTAGCTCATTAAGAGAATAGCTGGGTATAGGGGCTGTTAGCAGTGCAGAGGTAGCGCAACCTAGTTTTCGTTTGTACGTCTTATATACAAGCAGCGTGTTTCGTGTATGTACATATGTATTTATTATCGCTGGCCGTGATCCGCGGACACTTTAACCACGCGGCTGTCTTTGTTTTTCAGATCGCTGCCGAAACTCAGCAGCCAGGACGAGGATGGGCCGAACCCACACACCCAATACACAGGCGTCACGCAGTTCGAGCCCATACCGCACGATCATGACTTTTGCGAGAGGGTCGTCATTAACGTGAGCATCTTTACTCTTTTAACTGCCTCTTGTCCACCTTGTGGCGACTGCACGTAGCACTCGCTTTCGATTCCACTCGGATTTCCCTCGGATACGCTGTTACAATGTGTTTCCGCGACCAGTGTCGAACGTCTGTCGCGTTTCCCTCGCGAAGATCAAAGGAATATCGGTGTACGAAAAAGGATGAGCAGGAACGATTCTTGTCGAGTAACGATTTACATTTTGGTCAATTTCTTTTCCATTCTCCAATACGATTAACGCTTTGACTGCCGCGTGGACCATATATGGCCCACGCATATTCAACTTCTTACAATTGTAAAAATTGTACGAAAATTGACAGTTGGGGCATTTTGAATATAACTGATAAATAGAAGATACTTTGAAACAAAAAGTACCCCATTGAACGATTAAACATTTTTATTAAAACATCATTAAAAGAAATGAGAACAAATGTCGCATCTAACGATGCACTGTGTTAAAACACTTTAAACATAAACGTGGCTCGTCGATACAATCTGGACGATAGGTGGTCACCTTTTTGGTCCGATTCTTAGCAATTTTTCATCCTAACTGTTTAACATTTTTTTATACCACTCTCTGCAAAATTTTCGTGCCGGGTACGCTTGCCCTTCTTTCTTCTGCATTTCGTGTCGCAATCTTTGTCGAATAAGTATATTTGACGGCTCTGGTGAATGGCACTGTGTAAGGTGCGTTGCGAGTGCCATTCTAAAATCTGATACCTCGATTTTTGTTTTTGTTGCTTGTTTATAGAGCATCATCGCGTTTGAAATTGATGTATTTAACAATAACTCTAAAGCTAATTTTATATACCACTCGAGGGTTCTTCCATGTGGTGTAGAACATACTATCATTTGATCTGATAAATCTACAGCACATTTTCCTCTCTTGTAATCTACCACCACCATTGCCTTACCAGAAACATAATTTTTTTCCGGACCTCTACCATTTCGGTCGAATGTTTCGTCGAAATCATAAGAATAATCATAATACCGTTTACTAATATCTTCTACGCGTTTCAACAATATATTCCGCACGTTCTGCTTACGTCGAAATAACCAATGCGAAGGTTTGTTGAAATAAACGAAGCCTTGTTGTAATATGTCGCTATCAATAGTTACCAAGGCGCCACGGTGGTCACCCGTGACCACCAATAAGATAAACGGTCCATCGGGGAATAATGTTGTCTTACATCGTCAATTTATTATTCTTTTGCCATTACATGCTTTGAATAATAAAAATACTCCCATGGCGTCCTCAGTGATTTCGACGTGGCAGTCAAAGTGTTAACTATCATAGCGACTATGAAACTATACCAAAGTATGGAAGACGCGGCTGAAACTCCGGAGATTCGAACGAACCGATCGAATTAATGTAAATTTCGTCGCGCTTTCTTCTGCGCTGTGCTTGCAACGTACAGTGACAAACGGCGCCAGTTACCTTTCACGTTTCTTCCATTCACCGGTTTATCGGATAATTGCAGTCGAAATTCATAGCCTCGTAACTACCAGCTGCGAGTCAGCTTCACAGAAAAATCTCAGAAAGATCCGTCCGTATCTGATCGCAATTGTCCGGAATAACGAAACGTACTTGTCGCGATATGTCAAAGGAAAGAAATAAAAGCGTAGACGAGAGAGAAAGAACGAAAGAGAACGATGTAAATGGTTTCTGGATTCGCTTCGACAATCGTCGTGATAGGATATATCGTTAGTTGCGATGTGATCGTTAACCAGCCAGTCCGGGCCGCATTCAGATCGATTTCCACGCGTTTTTCAGTCAACGACTGGCGCCGTTTGCTCGCTGCGCGTTCCTCCGTATACTTCTTTTCTTTTCGACTAGGCAAGATTATCCGAAGACACGAAGTGACCTACAGACCGTATTTTGGCAGTCGTCCAAGTTCGTCTTGGAATCAGGGGCAATATAGTACCAAGGTCGTATTGTGTGAACGAAATTATCTGTCCTCGTGGATGACACGACTGCATTGCGCCAATTACAGTAAAACCGTTCGATCGTCGGTGGAAAAATCCGCCATGCCGATCGTTCACCGCCTCGTCCATTCCTTCCATATCTCTCGTCTCCTTGTCGCGTGTTGCGAACGCGAATTGACAGCGCGTGCGAAATTATGAAAACCCGATTTATCGACTATCGCTGTTTGTTTCGTCGGGTATTCTACGATCTTTGTTCTCTAAATTACCAGCAGACCGTGCAATCGTATCTTTACCGTTTGTTCATCCTCGTCGGGTTTCGTTCTCGTCGCGACGTAATTGCAAATTGGAGACACGCGCGGAGCACAGAAAACGATCGCCGTGAAAAATCGTGACCACTCACGGACGTTCGATAACGCGACTAAATATCGAACGGTGCAGTCGGTGGACGATGCACGCGCGTGTGTTCGCGGATCCAATCCAATTTCTGTTCTCGACGGG